TTTACAACTTTACTTTGAATCATATTCCATTTTTCTATCCTTGAAAATTTGACATTTTTGTCGTTTTGAAAGTTTTGAAAGTTTGACTAGAAACAATCTGATCATTTCATTCCATTCTTTACGAAATAAAAGTTTAGTTTGTGAACCATCGTAACGCTTTTTCAGTTAAATTCCATATCTCCTCGTATATCATTGACGTACAGGACGTTGTGTCAAAGTTTTACTCTTACGAAATTCTTTTATTCTGCTATTAAGACAGTCCCAAAACGATGGGAAATATAAGCATTTTATGAATGTGTACATTTGTTAAAGATGTGCAAATCCATCCCTAATGGTTTATGGGATTGGATCACTGCCCAGCCGACCCTGTTACTCACTTGAATCCAAGAAAGACGTGATTCATTGGCTGTGTAAGTAAAGGGAAAGTTGCAAACGAAAGTTTTTGGGGTCTCGGATAATGTTTATCGTTATGGCAATTTCATACAGATTTTACAGTCTATTTGTCAGTCCTTTTCCTTATCTCCTTTTCTCCATATCCTCCGTTTCAACCATTTACACGTGTTAGCAAACGTGGTTCAGTGTCGACATGACAAAGGAGAGAAAATAATCTTCTTCTTTGACAGACCTATTAAATATGTATTATTCAGATATTATGTGTATTGTAACACGTTCGCAAATTTTGTACTTGAAATTGAGCATAAAAATAGAATCATTATCGCAATTGATCATAATAGTTGATGACATAGTTTCTAATACATTTTATATATCGTTCCTAACTCTGATTAGTTGCTTTTATTGTAATGATTATTCATTATCATTATCATTATTATTAATCATTGTTATTATTATTATTATTAGTAGTAGTAGTAGTAGTAGTAGTAGTAGTAGTAGTAGTAGAAGTAGTAGAAGTAGTACATGTAGTACTCTTTATTAAATCATTACTGAACATTTATTCTCATTTGAACCGGATGTGATATATCTTGATAAAGTACAATGGATTATAAATCGGCAGTTGAATGTGCCCATTGTATTTATAAGTCTAAAATATAAGTTTAAGTCCACCCTAAAAACATATCTATTTCAATTAAGTAAAAGGAACTCAGTACCCTATTTTTTCTCTTTGCTTTTCTTTCTTAGCGCTTAGGGACATACTTTGTAATGTGTTATGCGCTATATAAAAATGGATTATTATACATTGAAGTTTTAACAATTAATTAAAAAGTAGCCTATTTTTATAATTTTGTTTCAAGTTACGATATTACTTTTTTCTTCTTCTGATGTTGCAATAATCATTGCAGAATGACAAGTTTGATTTTGAATATCTATATTTTTGCCTCAAGAAAATTGGGTGAATATAGATATTAATGATCTATACTTTGAAAATCGGTACTATGTGTGACAGTTGATTATATGAGAATGCGAACTCCGTAATGTAAATGTGACAAAGTGAGCAATAATCTTATATATAATTTGAATTAAATGTTCATGTATATAGGACTACCATAAAATACCTTCCGGTAAACTTATAAGTTGAATGCAACGAAGTGACAAACTGTATTTCTAGTACGATAATCGTTTTCATTGCCGACTCAAAAGCTTGGAACAATATGGAACCAAAAGAACCGCTATTCCATACATTAACACAATCAATATGTAGTATTGTTTATAATCATGAATTTTTAAGAAGTTTCGGTTGAGATTTAAGACGGATTTTGATAAAAAGAATGATTTAGAAGCCAAAATGCGTAATGAAATTTGGTTCTTGAAAACGGGCTTTTCATTCTTAAATTTTAATATAACTATGATACACTTATACGATGTTATGCTCCAAATCCCATTTTTATATTCAAATGATATTCAAGGCTTCATGATAATGCCCATGATATATTCCTATAGCTAAAACCACAAGCTTTTCACCTCTAACGAGTGGCCCAGATTTGCCCCTTAATAGTTTTACTTCTGACCTAGTTCACTGATTAAACACTGTCAACGTGTAAACCCAAGATAGACATCAGGGCTGGAAATGTAATTGTATTTTATTTGCAATTGATTAGATGACGGACATTTGCATCACCCTTGCCCGAACAAATTGTCATTAATCATTGACCGATAGCAAAATCATTTTTTTTTCTGGGAAATGGAGGGTGAAATCTATGAATTACACCCATGCATTTGGATAAATAGCAAAACTATGAAAAAGTACATTATGCTGTTCCATGTTATACATTATAGACTCTGGTCGTGGACGCTTGCGGTCGTTGGGCGGAAATACTGCTTATGTCTGATCCTGTACAATTATGACATCACACCTGTTTCGGTTTTATGCATTTATATGAAATATCAGTCTTATGGAATTGCACAACTAACGGACATTTAAAAATTTAACGAAAAGTCAAGCAGTGAACAATTTGATTGTTATTCTAGGAAGAAAACGATTATCATTGCCCCCACATTGCATCATTACCAAAATTAATATTCAATTTAGTTCATGCAGTGCAGGGCTAAAATGTGCCCATTATTGTATGAAGGTGTGGTATACAATCTTTAAGCTAATGGCGAACAAAGTAAAATGCCATGGTTTATTGAATAAAACGAAACTTAATGGAGTTGATACATCAATATAAATAGTGAGCCAATCGTAAATTCGTTAACCATGCAGAAGTTATTACGCCCAGCTACGCCCTAAAAATTTCATTCAAATAACCAATTACAACTACATCTTGAATTGAATTGAAGTTGAGTTCAATTCAATTCAAAGTTTATTCAACACTCTTTATGAAAACATTTAAAACATATAAATACAGCATTTGGGATAGGAAGAAAGGAGGGATTCCGTAAAGGAAAGCCTACCCCTAAAACACACACATACAGGAGAAAAAGAAGCAAGAACAAAAGAACAGAACAAAAAACATACTAAAACATATGCGCTTAAAGATCTAATACATTTAATAAACTAATGCCTGTGATTGTGACTATTATCTTTTGTCGTTATGCATTCTTATACTGCTGCAAAGATATTGTATAATGTTGCTTTAGATACATTGCACCCCCCCCCCCTCTCTACATTATCCTTCAGTTTAAATAAAGTCTGTGTCAATCATCGTTTCTGTGTAGGAATAGGAAATTTAAGAACAATTTACAACGGTAATACAGTTTAATTGTGTACATTTCTTTGTAAGCACATGTAGTTTGCTTAAGTAATAAAATGTAATATATGTTTGCACACATGTAGGCAAGCTGTAACCACTGTATGTGTGACTCGAAAATCCCGCGCATTTCGCTATCGCCGGGTACAATAGGCTATCGCAAACAATGACCTCGCAGCTTGCGTATCGTTGCTAAGGGCATTTTGACGTCACGATGTCGTCTGGCCTCCCGGCTGGCCCATTGATACTGATAACACTTCCTAGCAACCAGTACAATACTAAATTGTGACGTCAATCTTATCTGTTCGAGTACTCTGGCAGTTGTAATGTTATGCTGGTAGTGTGACTGCTAATAAGCGATGACATCATTTTTCCACTGTGATCGCGGAAAAATTTCACGACGGACGAAGCATACGGGAAGAGACATGACGTCACGAATTCTCTTCGGGTTATTGTTTGGATATCGGCCAATAAAAAAAGAAGCCATGAATGAAACGATCAAATCCTTGTCTGTTGTTTACCTGCGGATATTTTTAGATCTGATCGATGATGTGAAGCACGTGTATTTATTGTCAATTCATGAGTGGAATGATTCCAAAGCAGAAAGGGGTAAATTTCCATACCCTCCCCGTATTCTCACCCTTCAAAGAGTGGAAAATTTTGGTCACCCTAATATATAGGCTATATCACTCTATGGGTGTGACATGGGTGTGGTAACAAACAAGTGGATGTATCATCAAATTAACTCCACCTATTATACATATAACTTAATCTATATCCTTATCAATATTTTGTAACATTATCCGAAGATAAGTTTTGTTGATGTTAAGGTCACACACCGGATCCACCCGCGTATGAACTAGGCTTTTTACGTTATCATTTCATTTGCTCATAGTCCATCTAATTTCTTAACCTGTGAGGTATCTTTTTATCATTTAATTCAGCACTACTTGAGTTTTGTGATACATTTCTTCTTGTGGACTTATCGAACTGTACTTTTTAGATTATATCGTTTGATGACTTATTGTACCTGTCTGCTAAGAAAGCATATATAGGGTTACTACATGAAAGGGATTGATATATTCAGTGTTCCATTTAGGCCGGCTTATTGAAAATGTATTATTTGATTACAAATTGTATCCGGAATGACTCTACATTAATTAATGAAAATGTGAACGCACAACAGCTCTTAAATGTTACGTTAAAAAGAGTGTCAATGGTTTTGTTATTTACCCGCATGCTTTGTTTTTGCAATTCAAATCATTGCTAAGATTGTTTTTAAGGTATAAATTAGAAAATGATACTAAGCTAGAAGAATTGTTGAATATACTTAAATTTTCAGCCAATGTTTTTTTGTTCATTCAATCACTGAGTAATCAATGTAAATATGTATTGAAATTGTGGAAATAAAAAATCGCTTGAGGAAAAGAGAAACCAAAAAAAAGCTTACTAAGTCAACAGGTGGCCGGTAACTTTAAGTCTTCGAAGGGATATTGCCTCACCAAAGGGCAATAGCGAATCTATTTGGGTTCGAACCCGGGTCCTTCAAGTTACGAGACCACTGAGCCATCTCACCTCCTGTAATACCTTTATAAAGTTTGATTTACGGCTTTCCATTTTAGCTGTGAGTGTTTTTGCTCTTTATTTTATAATAGGAAAATAAATAAATAAATGAATATAGGATAACCGACAGGCTTTTTTTCAGGTGACGCGGAAGTTTATCATATTCGTTATCCCACATTAAATTGACAAACTGATTTAATCCTTTTCAAATACGACTTTGAAATTCTTTGAAATATCTTTTCTCCAGCCGAATAGTCATTTCTTGAATTTTGTCTATATTATGTCTTGCAGCTTTACACCTTCGATTGTTTTCAAGCTGAGAAGAATCGATGGGGCTCTACTCGAAATCACATATCGAACGCAATTCACCTACGGAAGAACCGGTTTTTCATATAGGTAGGATATAGTATTCTTACCCAGCATGCCCTGCGGCGTACCCAGAATTTACTAACCAGTGGCAAGGTGTTCCTGTAACCCTTCAGACACTCTGAAACGTAACCTCTATTACTTTAAAGATATTTTGAAATGTATCATGGGGGCGTATAGGCCGGCTCCACCCAATGGCGGATAAGCCACACATGTCCACTTACGAGGCCTATAAACATGGCAAGACAAATAAAATGGATTTTGTGGACACTTTATAAAAGGATCTTTGTATACCTATATTTCTTTGGTAAACAGTGACTCTAATTAGTGCGCACTAATTAATAAGCAAGCACATAGAAAGCATATTGGTCTATTAAATGTTGACTGATATATATTTATATTCAACCCATAACATAAAGTCGTGTTTGGACTTATTTTTATTATTGGAGAACATCATATTCGGGAATAACAACGGTTGCCAGTTCATTGTTAATTCTGGTATTATTTTTCGTCTCAACATTTGGATCATCTACTTATTACTTTTCAGAAAATGTATAACAACAAAAATAAAAATAATAATTAAAAATTCCAAAAAATTCCAACAATAATGAAACATACCCAACTGTAGATTGTGTAGAAACTAGATAGTCCCCAGAATTTTATTTAAAGCTATTTCCTTAAATTTCTTTGACTTTCTACAGAGTTTGGAGATATTATGATGAAAGGAGGTGGTCGATCAAGTCCACAACCTGCTAGTAGTACGTCAAACAGTATCAGCAATACCCCTCCTACCACCCCTCTTACACCTGGTACCCCACTCAGTGGCCCCGGAACCCCTTTTATACCCAGCGGGTCACCATACCCTGCCTCCCAACCACCACTTGGACCTCCGACCACGCCCAGCTACCCAGGATCATACAGACACCGTCTTCCATCGTTCACGGAGAGCGATTCCCAGTCGTCGACTCGCGACACGTTGTCGGACGATACAGCGTCACAGTCGGACTCGCAGAGCGATGTCGCATCTGTAGGAAGCAGTAGCACGGCAGAATGGGTGAACTTTGACATCACCCCTCTCGTTAAGAAAGAGCTCAAGGACGCCATCATTAACAGGAGAAAGACAAGGGGATTACCCGATGTCAGAGTCGACTTTACTCCACGACTTCCAGACAAGGTAAGAGTCTATCAAAGTCTATCACAATTATTTAAGAGGATAAAGGGAAGTTCACAGGTTTTCAAAGAAGTAGTGCGGGGTGTTAAATAAAATGAGCATAATGCTGTATATTGTATATATCTTTATCATATTTGTTCGGCAATTCAATATCAATTATCATGTGTATTTTTTGTATAAGCATCAATTAAGGATGTTTAGCAAATAACCAAGAGTTATGAAAGAAAGAATATCTGGAATGGGAGTACGGGAAATTACCGGCAAACAATAGTTACGGCCTCGCCCCATCCCCTCATGTTGATAGACTCGAACTGGCGGGTGCAACACTTAACCATATAGGACGAAAAGGATGTGTGTGTGTGTGTGTGTGGGGGGGGGGGGGGGGCTCATATTCTTTCTTTGGGGGCGACCATAACATAGAGTTGAATTCTATGATTGTTACAGAGCAATTCTTAAATGTTAGTGGGATTTTTTCGCCTCGCCTGTTTCAATACGCTTATCCAAGCCACTCAAAGAAGATTTTCTAAGTATGGAGTGACTTAGTATAATGTAGCCAGTCAGGAATGCCTGTAGTTCCATCCCCAAACTCTATTCACCACAGATAAAAGTCCTAACAAGAGATGGTGAATGTAAAAAGAAAAAAAAAGTTAAAGAGATGCGGCAACGTAGTGGTTGCATGTGAAAGGGGAGACTATTATAATGTCTTTGAGTTCCCTCAAAGTACCAACAAAAAGACTGACGTCATCGCATAATAACTATTACATAACGTATTGTATTCTTGATCCCATCGAGGACACGGTGGTTTGAAACCATGGTGTTTCGTATTGTGCTCATGCTTTTCATGCCTATTGCGTATTGACAGCTATGCATGACAATATACAGCTAAACAATTCAGTATCAAAAGTAAAAATGAAAGAATGATACGAAAATGCGGGAATCACTATAACTGAAATCACACCTCTTTGCATACACGAGACCAATTTTTTTACAATCCCACGTCATTTTTCTTCTTTTTTTTGGGGGGGGGGGAGGGGATGCTTACCATATGCTTGCCATATTTTTCTCTTTAAAAATTAATTTATATTCCTGAAGAAAATATCTTAGTTTTTCATCGATGAGTGATTTATTCATATTTTTCTCTCTTTTCTCTTTTTGACTGTTGATCCAGCTCACACCTGAAGAAGAAGTAAGACGTCGCCTTCAAAAGGAGAGAAATCGTGATGCTGCCTCCAAGTGTCGAAGTAAAAAGAGAAATGCAGTGGGTCACCTCGTAGAAGTAAGTACCGCTCATTCACGATTATTCTCTTTGACCCAACCCATCAAGCAAGCAAGCAAGCATGCCCCTTAAAAAATTACGACAACAAAACACGAATTGTATGATCATATATCATACTAAAATACGTTGTCAAGATATCTGAGCACGGTATTGGTTTCTAACTGAAAATAGACAGTTAGAGAGAGACAAAGTATGTTGAAGGGCTTTTGCGTTATTCAGGACATTTATTTGTAAAAAACTTGAAGCTTTACAGATACTATTCACTTTCTTATACAAATTTGTCATGTTGGAAACGTGGATCTTATTCTTAATAACCCGATGAACATTATATGAAACATGTCCGGAATACCATTAAGAAACGAAAAACGAATGGAAAGAAAAAAACAAAACTTGAAAACAAATTATGGTTGGCATGTTTGTTCTGAAGGATTGTGAATATTCTCTTTGTTCTCATATGAAATGGAAGTATTCTTCACATGCTGTTGTTAAAGAATGCAGACTTCTGTAACTATTGTTCTGAAATCAAATATTTCAGTTTTACCTATAAGTTACACCACAAGGGCCTCGTGTATACAAGACAGCGCCATATGCTTACACCGACACGCAGTAACTATAGAGAATGATGGAATGATAATGTATGTATATTAGTATCTTATTCTTCTTTTCTTATTTTCTTTTCAAGGAAGCACAGCAGCTTGAAACAGAAAATATGAAGCTTCGAGAAGAAATGAAAGCACTTGAATCGGAACGAAGCCAGCTACAATTCCTGCTTGACATGCATTCTCCTAAATGTATGATACAGCAAGCATCACCACCAGTATTTCACACATCACCAAGCGTCCCAATCACTGATTCAACTTGCGAATCGATACCAGTCCCACCTATCATCCAGTCACCAACTCGTGAGGTGATAAACATACCAATGTTGAGCGAAACTGAGATGACAGGAGCAAAGACAGGGGCGACGACGCCTATGACAGAGTCGACATCGCCTTACGGATCATCATACTTTCCTCCGACACCATCAACAACTCATAGCCGTAGTTGCACGGAGCCTTCGACTCCTGCGACTCCGACGAGCGTCATGGATGCACCCGTATTTCCAACCATGTCATTCAGCGCGATTCCCTTGACAACTGTCGCAGATCCTATTTACCAGGACACATCCGCCAGTGTCTCGCTCGTCGCTTCTCTTGCCAATAGTTCTACATGCACTCTAACCGATGCATTTGCCATTTCAGACATTGAGGGTTTTCATCCTGTTGTACCTCCCACGCCTGAATTGCTAGATGATCATGATGACCCTTTATCCGAGTCTTTCGTCAAACAGTATCTTGGTGCGGATCCATTTTTTTCTACAGACTTTTCCTTGCCGACTATAGCGGACAACTTAACTGTCCCGGACAGTTTTATTAGTTGTAGATCAGGTCCAGGAAACATACAGACGTCCGATGAAGCATGCTTTGAAGAATTGGGACTGGTCAAACCTTCGACATCAGAGAGACCAATTAGCACAGAATCTTACACTGTACACACTCGGCCTCTGTTAGACAGTCAATTCCCTCAAGGCGAAGGGGAGACAGTAACCCCCCTTTCAAGAGCTGACGATCCCACTCCTGACACTCCTGTAACTCTGTCATTATCAGCCTTGCTTGGTGTCTCATTCGAAGGTATGGATGATGAGACGATAGATGACGCGTCCATTTTCAGTACATCTTCCCATGGTGCAATAGGTCTATAGAGTTCATAAAAGTTGTTATTAGGACTTTTAAATACATGTCATATTATAGGTGCACTGTGATGAGATTGTGATCTAATCAAGAGATGATTATAAATTCACAGGAGAATGAAGACATATTAAAAATGTTCGTCTTAAATTTCCAATAACTCTGATTGTGTCACACAAGAGAGCTATCCTTGCTTTGGATCAATTAGATAAGTATCATTAATGAACCTTGATTACGATTGAATTTTGTTTACCAACAATATTTTGCTGCTTCGTGGTTTCTCAATGAATCTCTCATTACAAGACAGACAACGTCATGAAGAGACAAGAAAATGATGGTTATGCGAATTGATGGAAAAGGGGATTAATTTTAGAGAAAAAAAGAGGAAATATATAAGGTGAGGTGGAGGATTACGATTATGTTTTAATTAATACATGAGTGTGTGTATCATCATTCAACTCAATTTTTAAAGGCATTCCAACATTCTACTGCTTTCACCGAAACAGACCAAATACTATACTACTAATTCATCCTGCAGATTTTAGCCCAGCCATTATTCCCATTACCCCCCCCCCCTCCTTCCCTCAGAGGGGGAGAAAGCCCAGGACGGGGAAGGGGGGGGGGTCACCAATAGTTTTCTTTCTTGTTTATTTTCTTTTCCCTCCTATCCCCTCCTTTTTTTCTTGATCGCGTTAGGGGCGGGGGTCCCTGTTGGCCTGTCGATCCCAGGCTCCACCTGTGATTAAAGACTTGTGTCAAATACTCTTGTATCTTTCAAAATGCAATGGCGCCCTCCTCTCGAGAATCTCGGCGCATTGCATTTATCGCTGTGACGAGTACTCTTTAGCAGCTGAAATAGATTATCATTATCTCGATTCTAATCTTAGTCAGCAATCTGTATAGTTTTATTATTTTGATCTAATATTGTTTAGCTGATGATTGAACGAATTTTTTTATGTTATTTTTCATCAAATGAATTTAATTTATCATTCATACCAAATAATTTATGCATATTTAAAATGTATTATTTTTAAAATTCATGAATCAGATTAGTCAAATGCAGTTTGTATTTATCAATTTAGAATATAGCTAATGATAACTTTTATATGTTTCTAACCGAATTACTCAAAAAAAATTTAAAGTGTGAAATCAGTATATCTCTTCCTGAAATATGTACATGTATATTTATTTGAATGTCATCCAATCATCTTTCAATGAAAGACGGATATTACCTGAAATATTTTTTTCATCAGTCAAGTCTGCTTTGTGGTGCAGGTGTAAGTTGGCCATTTTTGCAGCTGTTATGACTCCTTAGATTGATCAATGTGAAGAAACATGTATAAACTGTATCTATAAAAAATAAAAACATTGTCACAATACTTCATGAAAAGAGGTAAGAAGAAAATATTCCAACTCTATGGGGCAACTGTGTATGTGATATTTTGCTCGTGGTTTATCTTAAATTTGATTCTCTAATTTTATTCATTACAGGCAGGCTATTACGTACGTTCTTTCTTTCTTTTCTTTTTAGAGCGTTTTGATAGCTTTGTTCTATTCTTTTACTTTTCATTTGAACTGAACTATTTAATATATGGATAAGAAAAAGAAAGATTATTAGCGGTACGAATTTCGCACAAGCTACCTCTATACATTCATGTTGTTCATTTATTTCTCGCTTAACGGTTACATTATGTATAAGTTCATGTTTATTGGAAAGCCCGATTTTGAGGTCCTCTTTCTCAATGCGGCAGGTGCTAATATACTGGTGGACATAGACAGTGGCGTACGCAGGATTTTTTCAGGGGGGGGGGGGGGGGGGTTTTAAAAATTTCGCAACGACTCAGGAAAATTTGGAAATTGCGCCGGCCAAAAAGTCGCTCAGTGGGGGGGGGGGGGGGGGTAAGCGGACACTTTTTTTTTAGGGAGTAAGTCGCTCAGTGGGGGGGGGGGGGGGGGGGGGGGGGTAAGCGGACACTTTTTTTTTTTTTTTGGTCCCAAAAAAATCGCAACGACTCAACCGACCGCTGAATAAGCGGGGGGGGGGGGGGGGGGGGGGGGGGGGGGGGGGGGGGGTAAGAGGTCACTTTTTTTTTTTTTTTTGGTCTCGAAATTTGAAAATTTGACATTTTTCTCCGTTGGGGGGGGGGTAAGGTCACCTTTCTTAGGTCAGCCATGGAGGTAATTTTTTTTTTTTTTTTTTTTTTTTTTTAATAATTTAAAAAATAAAAAAATAAAAAAAATCCAAAGGGGGGGGGGGGGGGGGGGGGGTTTAGGTTTTTTTTAGGGGGGTTTACACATGTAAAAATACCAAAGGGGGGTGTTTAACCCCCCCAAACACCCCCCCTGCGTACGCGCCTGGACATAGAACCTCACCTTTTACCATGTATATTCTTCTTAGAAAGTAAATGAATATAACCCAAATGAAAGTTATAATTGGTTGGGTGCAAAGAAACAAAATAAAAAAGTTTTGTGATAAAACTAGAACAAGTATTTTTCACCATAATTGAATAAAATTGCCTTAGAAGTGTTACCAGAGTAATTACATGTGTTGACAATGCCTTTAATGTCTCAGTGTCATTAATATTTGCCTTTTTTAAACCAGGTATTATTACATTTTAATTCCACTATTCCTCCCTGTACTCACATGTACTATATATATATATATATATATATATATATACAGTTTAATCATTGTCTCTAAGACTGCTATATATATATATATATATATTATAAATATTATTTTATTTGTATGCTTGTAAATAAACAATCTGATTATCAGAAAGGATAACATTCTTTAATATATTTGTCATGTGTCACATTGTACATGTATTATAATTGGTACAATTTCAGGATTTTGCAGCAATACACCAAGATTTTTTTTTTAATAGAAAATTTCAGAGTAATGGTAGAAAAGAAAGGAAAGAGTGAAAGTGGTAGAAGAGGTAAAGGAGAGATAAAGAGAAAGAGAGAGAGAGAGAGAGAGAGAGAGAGAATGAAAGATAGAGAGAGTGAAAGAAAGAGAATGCCCAAAAAAGTAGAGAGTTCCTCTTGTATCTGAGTAAATGTAGTACATTGGTCTAAATTTCATACAAGCAAAACTAAAAGGCATAGGAACAAAGAACACACACAAATGCAGAAACACATTTTACTATTTGTTTTCATAAATTACATCATTTACTTTTAATTAATAACAAAAATTGATGGAGCGAGATTAAACAAAAAGGGTATCATCTAATACCAAGAGACTGGGATAAAAAAAAATAACAGACCTACATTACACCATAGTGCTATTTAATTATTGAAAACAAGATTTCTGCTTTTCAACAAATAGTGAACCATTTGTTTAAAAAAAATAGTATTCAATGAATGAACCAACATTAAAGGAATATACAACATACATTCCTGTCCATGTGTAAAGAACATTCATGTAAACAATAGCAACAAAACAAAGTTATGTGCTACAGTATTGATAACAAGTACTTTACTTAGAAATATCATTATCTCACCACTACACTCACTCTTTATAATACTTCAGGGAAAGTATTCTATATCATTGTTTGTTTGTTCAAGATGCTTGTTTGGGTAAAATACGCTGATTGAGAAAGGTAGATCTTTAAAAATTATACAAAAATGCACAAGTACATGGGTGCATCGAAATTGAAAGTGAAATTAAAAATGAACAGGAACAACCACTCTTAAAATATCTGTTTACACAAGGAGACATACGTATTTGTAATAAATTGTTGACCTAGATATCACATAATTGCATCACTGTCGAGTAGTACATTATTGTACACATAAAATTAATAGAAGGAAAAAACAACTCAAAACCACTACAGATCAGCTATTCAATTAATTTTCACATTGTGTATAATCAGCTGTTGCTATGTGTGGAAATCTTGAGGCAAAATATAGGGTCAACGAGATTAATTTCTCTTTAGAAGTAAATACAAGTTTAAATTGAGTGAAATGGTTTATCATGTGCAATAAATCAACTAACAATACACAATCTCAACAATAGAGGGTGCTATACATTTATTTCCAAAGTGAGTTGAGAGCCATGATTACATTAGCAAAGTGCACACTGCTTCAACTGTTTAGAAATACACTCAAGTCTATTCCATGTGTTCCAGAAAGCAGATTCTCTAGGTGTCAGCCATCTCAAATCTTCATCTATATTCTTACACTGGATGCATAGAATCCACAAGTTTTCTTTATAAACTTATCACAATATTTATTATAAACCCAAATATGTTTCAGCCCTAATATTAGCTTCTTCTACAGTATCAATGATATTTAAATCTGGCATTTCCTTTCATATCATGTTTTTTTATACACTGGTAGGAAATAAGCCCTGAAGTTCATTAGAGTAAAATGATTGATATACACACACATCTTTATGGAAATGTTACATCCTAATAGATGTATATACTCCCAAATCACAATATATTTTATAATCTACTCATTTTCTAGTATACACATAACTTTGTGAATATCCTGTTTTACCAACATTGTGCAAATGTATTTTAATGTTAGGATGCTGTAAAACAAACTCTTTCATCATACTTTTATCCTCTTTGATCTCGTCCCACATTTCCAGGCACTCTAAATAGAAAGGATAATACTAGTGAAGCAACTTACAGCTGTCAAATTAAACTGATACCAAAGCCTGGAATATTCACAGATGAAATAAAATACAACATTTGATAACATATTTTACTTTTTTCAGTAATAACACTCTTAGAAATAAGATTTAACATGATTTCCTTCTCATTTGATATAATCTCAATAAAATATCAATTTATCCTTTGAAATTGGTGGACTAATTGATCCCAAAAATTCCTGAACTGTAAAATGCTGCCCTCTGAAATCTGAATCAATTACCAAGTATCAGCAGAGGTCATCTCATTCTTTGGAAATATGAAGGTGCAACATTCGTATGCAGACTGAAAACTAGTCAAAAAAGGTCGACAAAACTAAAGGCTATAGCCAATAATGGACCTTTTGTTGACAATTACTACAAAGGAGACAAATGTTCACCAATTAAAATTTCTCATTCCAATGGATCTTCAGATTCATTGTTATTGGGTTCTTGTATCTTTTGTTTTGTGGACACTCTGTCTTCAGGTCTGCTCCTCATTCTCATACATGTATATACAAGTTCAAAATGAGAAATATATGTTTGCCTTTCCAAAAACAAGAGAAAGAATCATCTTCTATTCACAAAGAAAAACAGAAGATCTTCTGTGTAAGTTTTGACTCGTGGTGTAACACAGTCACACGAGTTGATGGGGCATGTCTTTACATGAAAACCCAACCGTAAAGTGCAGTCAACTGTTCTGAGGTGCTGCTCTGAATAAACATGCAGAGGGCCAAAATCCCTTTGATGACTGGAAAAGGTAACAATTTCTCTTCATGGCTCTCTGTACAAGAATTGAGTGTCACTGATCTGCAAGGAAACAAATATAAAGGAAAATTTAGGATCATGACAAAACTCTGCAAAATAATATGGTGAGTAGAGGATACTTTATGTGATGATTAGTTTGTTTTTTTGTCGCTACAAAGTTCAAACATACGTGCAGTTGCTAGCATTTGATCAAACAAATTGTGACTGAAAATGTATTCAATTTAGATCATCAATGAAATAGGTCATGATCTTTTCCCCCTAATATTTCATCCACAATTTATCAATGAATTGAAAAACACCTTATTGTTTCATCTAAAACATACAGTAGAAGCACATGTTATTTAAAGCTATTGTAATAATAATACAATGTTTCAACCTGAAGACGACATCTGGACAACTTCCCCTTAAAAATAAGCTTACCCAAGTTACCCCTAGGCAACTATTCACAGGACGATATAATTAGGGGATAATTGTCCTTGAGGAGGGGAAGTTGTCCTAGGGGCAATAGTTGGGTGGGGCTGGTCGTCCAGGGGTTAAACTCCAAGGAGGGATTCTTTGAAGAGAAGGTACTTATCTGGGGTGATAGTCAACTTTAACTTGATCTGCAGAATTCACTCACTCACCTTATCATACTTCATCTTCATTCAGCAGCATGTTGGCAATCCCATTCTTGATAGGGAACTTTCTTCCAGACTCAGGACACACAAGGTTACCTTCTACTATTTCAATCTGTCATTTGAAATAAGAAAAAAAAAAATTCAAAGTATATTGGTATAACTACACATTAATTTGTCTGTCTTGGTTTTTATGTATATCACAAGAAATATAAAAATCGTCATGTAGGAAAACAAAATCCTTTTTCACAATGATAGTAAAAATAGGCGATTTGTTCTGTTCTTGTCAGCAATCTTGAGCTCGTTTTTTGTTGAATACATAATAAATGGTTTTTATAAATATATATTGGTCTCTTTCTTATGAAAAACATTGTGCCTACAACAATAAACTAAAAACAGAAGCAATAAATAAGAGAGAGACAATATTACACATATCGATAGGTTAGGTACCTAGATAGATTTATGTAGATAGATAGATGACAGGAGAATGGATATGACAAACAGGGGAGTATTTAGCTTACCTCGAGTAAGACTCTATGAGCCTCTTTCAAGAATTCTTCATCACTCTCATAGTTTTCAACTGGTTGTGCAGGTAAGCTACCATTCATGTTGATCTACAGAATAAAATGTATTAACAAATTAAGATTAACACAAACATTTATGCTTATGCGACTGAGCGAAAGATATGCTTTTCTGTATTAAACTTTTATATGACTAATTTTTGTTCTCATATGAGATGACAATAGGAGTCAAAATATTAAACAACGTTAACAAAATGCATGAAATAAGGGAAATCATAGAAATAATAATACTCTTGCTTCCCAGTGATTCTCATTTTCAATGAGTGATCATTTTTTTTTTTATAGCTATCAAAAGTATCAGACCTGTACAAATGGACATACATTTATATATATGCACTTTATTGAAATATCTTTTCTTTCACTTCAGTATTAAGTTGCATATAAACGCAATATATAATGCCTTCAATTGAAATGCACATGTGAAAAATGGTGAAAAATGGTGAAAAACATGCCAAATAATAGTAGAAAGAGAAGACTTACACCACAAGCTGTCTCATACAGGGCAGTCCAGTCTATTCTTGGAATCATTCTAGCGATGAAGTCTGGATTAAATTCCACTTCCAGTATCCTTGTATTTTCAGGCTGTAAAAAAACAAGTTAGGAACATGCAGACTTGAAATATACATAAAAAATAATTGCTTGTATCTTTGTAAAACCAAAGAGATACTACAATCTCTTTGGTAAAACTAGCTGATAAGCTCGTACTTCTGACTCTTGAGGCAAAATGACAAAAGTGTGGGGAAGAGACAAAACATCATTTGAATTTTAGTGTACATGTAACTTGCACTATGCAGTTTGCATCTTAAGTTAAAGGGATCCGGTAACTTTGTCTCAGATTCTGAAACAAAATTCTGGATTTAGCTGATGATGCAATGATAATAATAAACCTTTAGGCCAGTCAGGAACTAACCCTGTAAGTTGGGGCTCTGATCGGATCGGAAGATCGGAGCGACACCCTCGCACCTTTGATCGGTATCGGAACGGAAGATCGACAAAAAAAATTGACTGATTTTTTTTTTTTTTTTTTTTTAATGACGAAAAATTTTAAGTTTTGGCTATCAAATGCTTTAAAAAAATTCATGGCTGGGATTATTTTGTCATTTAGAGTTGTTGTAGACCATGTTTGTTGATATTTAGTGCCTTTTCATGACTTTGAAATTAATAATGTTGGTCTAAGAGCAGAGGCAAAACATGCGGACCGCCATCTTGGATTATCAATGTAGACGTCTAGGTATTTTTTTTTTTAATGATGAAAATTTTCAAGTTTTTGGCTATCTAATGCTTAAAAAAAATTCATGGCTGAGATTATTTTGTCATTTACAGTTGTTGTAGACCGTGTTTGTTGATATTTAGTGCCTTTTCATGACTTTGAAATTAGTAATATTGGTCTAAGAGCAGAGGCAAAACATGCGATTGGATCTTGGATTATAATGTAGGTATGCATTATAATCCAAGATGGCGGCCCGCATGTTTTGCCTCTGCTCCTAGACCAATATTATTAATTTCAAAGTCATGAAAAGGCACTAAATATCAACAAACATGGTCTACAACAACTGTAAATGACAAAATAATCCCAGCCATGAATATTTTTTGAGCATTTGATAGCCAAAAACTTGAAAATTTTCGGCATTAAAAAAAATTTAAAAAAAATAAATAAAAAAAATTAAAAAATTCTGCCGATTTTTTTCCGATCTTTTTAATTTTTTGTTTTGTAATAATTGATCGGCGATCGGAAATTATTATCCGATCACCCCTGATCGGATCGGTATCGGCGGCCGATCCGATGATCGTTTACAGGGTTATCAGGAACCCCATGACTTTTACAAGCCGATCGCCTGTCTGATTATCAAGATAGGTCTATTTATGATTGGAATTACAAATTTTGAAAACCGTTCGTCTGACGGTTTTCATAACACTACAGTCTATTGGGGAAAACAAGTATGGTAAAACCGGTCACTCAAAGATTTTTACTTTTTTTGAGGCACTTCTTGATCATTTTGAAGCGCAATTTTTTTAGATCATATCACAGACACTGATAACACGTAGGGCCATGTATCTCAGATCGAACATTGTTAAACGATCCCTTTAAGGATCTATCTACAAGCTAAAATATTGTATAACTCCATGAAAGGCCTTGATCAGATGATGATGGAATCCCTGTCATATTATCTGTTGGAATAGATCAGATGTAGGTCTAGATCTATTCATAATAAATAGTAAAAACTAAAATAAGTTAGATCTTGACTAAGTCTCTAATTCTAAACATCATTCATTTTCAATCAGCCATGGTTGCAGGCTGCCATGCATCATGGAAATTAAAGCAATCCTGCCAACAACAAGAAACTGGGGCTTGTGATATTTAATAGTTGTGTGGTATAATTATGTCTAGTAATAGTAATAGCATGATTAGGGGAGGGAGGAGTGCTGCGAGTGAAGAACCTTGCACATGCACATCCAACAATGTCGCTGTCCCCGGCCCGGGCCCGGCCCCGTGCCATTGCGGCTTGCACTTGCCAATGGTGTTCTGAATTCTGCTAATCGCATTCACTGACGACTCAATCATCAATTACAATGTCAATGAGTAAAAAAACGACTTTGTAGACCTATCTTCTGATCTTACCTCTATTCTTAGAGGGTATCCATTCTTTACTCCTTTGACGTGAGAAGTCAGCATATTATGAGTAAGTAACTTCATTGTTCTAACCACCGTCGATCTCATCTAACGACTCAAAAATCCTCTATCAAATAAATGGCCCTTTCTCATTCACGTTTAGTACTCACGTACGTACGTACATACGTAACACATGTATAATTACGTTTTAACCATGGGGGCTGCCATATTGGAAACGCAATGGATTATGGGATATTTAGAACAAAATAGTCTGTACCACAGACTTAATACAATCATAATAAGAGTCTACTAAGTTTGCATTATCGCATACCAGTGTCATTATTATGTGCACCATGCAAAGGAGATTGTTTTAGCAATAAATTTATATTATTCCTTGAATGAATCATACAGATATAGGCCAATCATGAATAAGAAAAACACCTCCCTGTTCCCAAGACTCCAACATAATAGTTAAACCTATAGGTGAAAAATAAGGACTCTGAAAAAAAAAAAAAAAAAAATGATACAAGAGATTTGAAAAAGTATCTACACTTTGAACAGCCCTTAGTATTGAACAATACCAAGGACTTAAATCCAATTTGAAAATATGAAACATGAAGAAGAAGAAAAAAAGAGGATTCGTTATGTTAATTGACTTAGGCCTCGGTACGTCCGTATAAAGTTAAACGCCCAACACCTAGTGTTAGGATTAGGGTTAGGGGGTTGGGGTGGCGGGGGGGGGGGGGGGCGGGAGTTGGGCTAGCTAAAGTCTTTAGATTTAGCTTCATTGCCAGTTTGGTGAAGTTTCAGTTGACCTACTCACGTCTGGTCAAAATTTGTGGTGGGGTATTCTGATGATGTTTTTAAAAAAATAAAAAAATTGGGGTTCATCAATACTGAGGCTGATAAAATCATCTACTATAAGCACTTGACTGACTGTTGAAGGGCTACAAATCATTACCCCTGGTCATCGGAATCAGGCTTGCCTGAACAGAATATATGCACATTCTCCACTCCATGGGGAACCGATGTATAACTGTGATGTGAGAGGTTGAACAAAATGACCTTCGTATAACTGTCCATCCAATGATTGCTTATATAATTGCATAATTGCTATTGTCAATTTATGAACTAGAAATGTGTGTGTGTGTGTGTGCGTGTGTGTGTGTGTGTGTGTGTGTGTGTGTGTGTGTGTATGGGGGGGGCAAATTGTCCCCTTTCCCCGTGGTTCAAACTAATTTTTTGTTGTCATTTTTTTTTCAGCTTCAGAAAAGTCAATTCTCAAATTTAATTTGTAGGTAACTTTAGGTATCAATGTATTCATATTCATATAGGGGTATTAATAAGATGTATGACACATATATTGTATATACCGGCATCTAAGTTTTAGATCTAGTAATCAATTTTCGAGCCTTTTGGGAACAAATTCTAAGCAAACTGCTCCATTTCCCACTAGCTTCCAAACTGTGATTTTGATTCTGTTAAAGTGTTATCTTCATAAAAGTCCTGTTCATGTTTGATTTGATTTATTTGATTTGATTTAATCTGTAGGTATTAGTCACTATCAATGTGTTCATATTACCTATAGGGAGTATTTTTATTGTGTATGAAAAACTAATATATTCTTATTATATCGGTTTAGGCCAATTTTGTATTGATCTATTTCGAGCCTTTTCAACGTTCTATTTCCTAATTCACTGTGTACACGTATAATGAACTTAATCGTGTCTGAAGTATAGAGACTAAAAAATTACCACGAAAGAGATCGAGAACAAAGCATCCTGGGATATTATGATGGTGTTGTTTGTGCATTTCTCTACAGCTGCGAACTGTTACTAATCGGAGCTATTAAATACTTTTTCCTGCTTTCTATGATACGTCAGGAGGAAGCAGGTATGTAAAGAACATATCTTGATATTCATTTAATGTGTTAGTAAAATAAATTTGATATATGGTCGAATAAAACATGACTAAACATGACCACAAACTGTCATTTCTCTGCACATCCGTGTGCAGTCGCGAGAGGCTTACGAAGCTTCATTTACTATTACCCCTCGCCTGGCCCGCTCGGTGCCCAGCCGTTGGTAGGTAGTCATTAGTCTAATGCAGCGTGACACTTATGACATGATGCATGATACGACGTAGGCCTAGAATCTATATAGGCCTACATGTACGACCATGATGAAATTGACTGTCTTGACTGTTGTCTTTCCATTGCATTGACATCCACAATCAAAGCAGTTCATTGTCATGGTTCTAAAGTGTAGAAAATATTTCTTCTGTTCCTCATTATTTTACTTAGACTCTAGATCTAGATTGAGCTAGCCTAGGCTATAGGACTGACTGGACTGGTTTAAAAAACTTTGAAAAAACAAGGAAAACAAAACAGTTTTATAATCAGCATCAGTATACGGAAGTGTAATAATAACATGATTTAATATTAACAATAAAGATGAACTTGAATTCTGGTAATAATAGAAAATAAATTCTCACAGAATCCAACGAAACTTACACTGAATGTTCAAGATTACGAATAAACTACATAGTTCTAGATCTAATTCTACATAGGGTAGAGTACCCAGTATTCGGTCACTTAAGGGGAAATCACTAATATTTTGAATTCTTACCTCTTTCATTGGGCAATCTACCCATCAAAAGAAAAGAAATTTATTCCTCTAACAGGATTTTATAGTCGCTGAAAATATAGAATAACGATAAGCAAAAGACTTCCGAAAGAAGACGGAGCATTTTTCTGCCCAGAATTCGGTCGCGCCGACTAAAATTCGGTCACGCGATTTGTGCGTGGTATCTCCGTTGCAAAGGAGCGTAGCGTATTTGCGCACTATTTTCACACAATTGCGCGATAAAGCACTGAATGTCAATGCGTTGACCGAATACTGGCTGAGCGATACCGCATGGCAAGGGTATCGTATAAATACCTCTTGCACATCGGCAAGTGCGTCATTTGCAAATTCGCTGCGATGGGGCGAACACGGAAGTGATTCTCTTCACACACATACTAAATTCATTGTGACAGCACACGTAGTTGTTTCGCAATAGACTTCTACATATGGCTATGCACGTTAGCGCATGTGCTAAGAGAACGCGAAAGTGCGGAAAGTTGTGCGACACTGACCAATTTCGAGCTAAGTTGGAGATCTTTCCGGGGCCCTAAATCTGATTTAATTTTGAGAGTTAAGAAAAGTTGTTCAGCTGCCTGATTTGTGCAAGTTTCGTGGCTCATAAATTATTTTTTAAATTGTTACAGCTGTTGAAACGGCTGTCTGACCGAATACTGGGAATCGACCGAATACTGGGCGCGCTACCCTACATGCCTAACAATTTTGGTAGAAAATATATTATAGTGGCTGAGTGGGTCTAGACCCTATATTGAATCGAGTAGAAAGATAAGGAAATCTGGGTAAGTAGCCCCCGTCACTCACAGGTCACTATGTGCAAATGGGAGTTGTGGTTTTTATCGAAGAGGATGCCGATTAAGTTTTTGTGAGTTTGTTTTTATTAGAGACAGAAGCTGACCATAGGGCCTCCTCCTGTCAGTGCTGTGCAAACTTTACCGTATTCCACTAAAACAAAAATGTACCGGGTATGCGAATCTCAAATCTTTTGTTTACTTTCGTTCAAACTGTCACCAGTCTGTTTCTCTGATTTTTCTGCTTTCTTGTAGGTACATGTAGTTGTCTTGAGCTGAATTTTCTTTTAGGGATCACGTTTTTCACTTTCATGTTTTTTCAAATGTCATTCCATTAATTTGTGGGCTGAATAATTTATTTCCATATTTCTTTGAAATATCTTTTTCCTCCGGGCAGTACTCAAAATATATTATGCATGTAGTGTTTTTGTAGGTTCTCCAAAAAACAAAAATTTATCTTGCCTACAAGTAACCCTTTAACCCGATTGGATTGGGGGCCAATTGCTGGCCGATCAGGTGAAATCAGATAATTAATTCTGATCGCCGATCAATGAAAATGATCGGAAAAAAATCAGCAATTTTTTTTTTTTTAATGCCAAAATTTTCAAGTTTTGGGCTATCAAATGCTAAGAAAACAATCATAGCTGGGGTTATTTTGTCATTTGGAATTGTTGTAGACAATGTTTGTTGATATTTAGTGCCCTTTCATGACTTTGACATTAATAATACATGTATTGGTCTAAGAGAAGAGGCAAAACATGGGAGCCGCCATCTTGGATTATAATGTAGGCACGCATTTTTTTGTCCATTGTCATTAAAATCAAAGATGGCGGCTCGCATGTTTTGCTTCTTTTCGTAGACTAATATTATCTTAATAACAACAAACATGGTCTACAACAACTCTAAATGACAAAATAATCACAGCTATACATGTTTTTTTAACATTTGATAACTCAAAACTTGAAAAAATATTGGCATTAAAAAAAAAATTCTGCCTATTTTTTTTTGCCGATACTGATCAAAGGTGCAAAGGTGTCACTCCGATTTTTTGATCTGATCAAAGCCCTAACTTACAGAGTTACCTACAAGTCCTAGTGTCCTACACTTAATCATACATTTAAAACAAAATTTATAAATATTTAATAAATTAAGTAATGTTTTTGTATTGAAACCTTGTCATGTCAGGTAATTTTGCAATAGATACCCTGTACATTTATGTATTGTAGTCTGTACAAACAATTACTATAATTACTTTCAAACCAATATTCCACCTCTTTCATCTATGTTTAAGAATTTTCAGTTATCTTGCTTTGAAGTTGAATGAGTTTGGTGAGACAATATGCATTTAGAAAGAAAAAAAAAATATATGTACTGTATGTGTAATCCTGGACTCGATACTAACAGGTGCCAAAAATCCTAGTCTGTACCTCCGGGATTGAGATATTTTACATGTGCGGCTCTTGCATTACAGACCTTTAAAAACAACCCCTGGACCCTCTACACAAATGTTAGCGTGGAAGCCCTTCCATATCTTTGTATACACTTTGATCCCCCCCCCCCCCCCACCCCACATTTCTGGGCCATAAAGTTAAACAGTTTTTGGATTTTAAGCATTTTGGCTTACATTGAAGGATTGGAATCCAATTCCCTCACTGACTCACCCTGTTAGTACCGGTAAGAAGAATTTTGATCATCATTTCAAATGTAAATTCTACACAGAGTTGCTTGTTACAGACATGTACATTCTGTGAACTGTCAGCATTTTCCATGTGTACTGGTATTGCTTCATAGGTTTAG